CTAACATCTCTCCTGAATGGTCTGGTCCTAATTCAAAGATAAGTTGAAAAACTTTGGACAGAGTCTCCACAATGTCTACCTTTACTTTCTCTATATCCTTGGATGTATCTAGTCTAGTTCGAATGACTTATAAACATCAAGTACAACCAGCCTAACACCTCCTGCTTAGTCATTTTAAATGCATCAAATGTTTCAACAACCTCCTCTCTCACTCTGACTAGGACAGCGTTTTTTTCCTTGATCAAGTACTCCCCAACATCCCTGCCTCCATCCACACATCCCATTTTAGGTCTATAAAAAACTGCTAATCTCTTCTCATAATCTCAACTTGCTTTGCTGATTTAAAAATAGTCTCAACTTTCTATATTGAACCTGATTCTCAATTGTAATCTCTCTTAACATCTATCATATGCATACTTTTTATATTTCATCTTACCATATATATATCTTTAGTCATCAAGAAAGCTCTATATTTACTCTTATTATCTTATGGGAATGCACTTTGACTGCGACCAAAATATCAACTTTTCAGAGGCAGTCGATTACTCAATTATAGTGTTACAAAACAAACCTACATGTATCACAAATCATTGAATTTTTCTGAAGAGGCTTCTGGACTAATGGATGAGGACTATGCAAGGGATGAGTCACATTCACCATCATAGTCAATGACTAAAAACTCAAGTACCACCAACAGATTGGATTAATTTCCAGTTGTCACTAAATTAAATTCCTCGGGTGTGATGTTGTTAATGTAGATTAGGATTTATCAAATACAGACTATAAAAATGAGCTCATAATTGACTTACAGCAAGAGCCTCAAGTTGATAAATCAGAAAAGCTCTTCCTGGGAAATAGTACTGAGCAGCAATTCACCAGGTTTTGACCTGTGTAACCTGTTGTTGGCACAATTTATAGATAACTTGCAGTCAAATCCATTCTCGAAGTAGAAATAAACATTGACTGTAACAATACCAGAAATTGCCAGAGAAACTCAGCATCTGTGGAGAGAAAACAGCGTTAACGTTTTGAGGCAAGTGACCCTTCTTCAGAACATGCCACTGGCCTTAAAACCCAGAGTTCATGAGATCAAATCATCAATGGCATATTGTAAAAGTGTATTTACTTGATTAGCAAGTTACTGCTTAGTTCCAGAACTATGGATGTTGCCAATGGTCTCAAGAAACAGTATTTACCTTCTTATTAAAATGGAGTTTGGAAGCTTCATCCAGAATGGGGCTAGCATTATTCTAATCCCATTTGTGTGATAACTTGAAATTCTGAATAATTTCCACACGGGTAAAAAAAAGGAGAAATTACGCATACAAATCAATCAACAACAATTCAATCATCAAATTAAAATGTGCCATGGGTGAGAAAATTCAAGTTCCACCACGAAAAACACTAATTAGTACATCCAATGACCCAAACTGGCCTGGTTCTGAAAGACATAGCAGGGTTATTGGGCTGTGAAAGATGTTGATGGATTCATATATGAGGAAATATCTACTGGGATTCTTATGCATCAATTGCAGATACAGTTACACACAATAGCACTAACTGGAAAAACTATGACGCTAAAGATTTATCATAACTATGAGGACTTCTACTTTGTAGTGTCACACATAGCTTTAATATTTGGGATAAGCCAAGGGAAGATTTAGCACCAGGAAATGAGATGTCCAGCTGGCACTTGGGCCATGAGCAACAATGGAACTGTATTTGTACAGTTATGGTCCAACACATCTGTATTTCTCAATCATCTTTAGGCAGGGAGATCAAACCTAGTTAAGTTTCAAATATAGAGAACATGCCCAGATGAAGAAGGAGGTATAACTTAAGGCAGGTATCAACTGAATATATCTACAATGGAGTGCCACCCAACTGCTGAGAAATACAGAGTACAATTTACAAGAACCTGCATTTATAAAGCACCTTTAATGTGATGCCATACTATAGAAGGTACAATAAAACAGCTGGTGTCATCTTTACAGAAGGCATTGCAGAGCCTAGAGTCAAGCAGCTGAAGGAACAACCACTAATGACAGAGTGAATACAATTAGGATAAGCAAGAGACAATAACTGATGGAGAATAGAGATCTCAGTGGATTATAAGGCTGGAGGAGATTATAGTGACAGGGTGGGTGACATTATGAAGACATTAGGGAACAAGCTTGAGAATTTTATATTGAGGATGTGACAAACCAGGAGTTGGAGTTGGTCAGAAAGCACAGAGTGACAGCTGAACAGGGTTAGTGCAAGTCAGGATGCAGGCAGAGTTTTGGACAGATTCAACCTTATAGAGAATGAAACACGGTAACATAGTCTGAAACTCCTGCTAGGGTCAAATAGGAAACCAAGGTTGTGAGCAATCTAATAAAAGCAAAATAGTGCGCATGCTGGAGATGTGAAATAGATGTTCTGAAGAAGAGTCATATGTGACTCAAAACGTTGACTTTGTTTCTCCTTCCACAGATGCTGCTGGACCTCCTGAGTCTCTCCAGTACTTTCGGTTTTTAGTTGTGAGCAAACCTGATTCGGTTTCACACATTAAACTGAGGGAACAAGTTGATGATTAGCGAACCGAATTTGTATCGTGCATCCGTGTTCATTTGATATTGAATGCAGACTTACTTTTCAAGAATGAGCTTCTTTGCAACATTTATACACCAAAATCCTGATAATTTTGCAACCAAAGATAATGGTCTTCCCAATATTTTGTCAGAGGATATTTCTGCATGTCTAGGAATAAATGATGGACAAGCAGAGTGACAAATTAGAAGCAGCAAAGAGGTCAAGGGTGGTGGTGGGAAGGTAGATAAGGTACGGCTGAATGTCATCAGTGCACATGCAGAAATTGACATTGTGTATTCAGGTAATGTCATCTGGACTGACTTGTAGATGATAAATAGAAAAAGTTGAAGGATACATTCTTGAGGGGAGTCAACATGTAGTGGTAGGAAAAAGGAGAGAAAAATGTGCAGATATTTCTATTATTATAATTGAATAGATAAGAACAAAAGCATAAGAGGCAAGCTGGATGATGGTGGAGAGACATTCGAGGAGGATAATGTGGTCAATCATGTCAAAGATTGCTGACAGGTTTCTGAAGAATGAAGAAGAATAGATAATTAATAATGGTACAGTTACATAAGATATTGCTTTTGGCTTTGTTTAAGTTCATTTCAATTCTGTGACAACACATTCAGACATAGGAGCTTTGAGAAACATAGGCACTGATACGGAATGCAACACATTCAAGGACATTGGAAAGGAAAATGAAATGGACATGGGCTACCAGCTTGAAAAGACAGAGGTGTCAAGAATGTTTTTCATTCAGGAAAGGGGTGGTGTTGACAGATTTGCAGGGGAGGAGATCTGAGAGGGAACTATGAACAACATTAGTTAAATGTGGTCTTGGAGGGGATGTTGGGTGGTCAGCATTTGGCGGAATTAGATTCAACAAACAAGAATTGGGTCCTGTGGGCAAGATGAGCTCAAGAGAAAGCATGAGAGGAAGTAAGGGAGAAACTGAAGAAAGAACAATTTTCATGAATAGAGCAAGGGTGGAAGGATGGAAGGAGATTAATTTGTTGGGTTAGAGCTGTAGAAGGAAGCAACATAGGCAGCTGATCAGATGGTGCCAAACTTATAACGACAAGAAAAGTACATCAGACCCTTACAATTGTTAGAATGAAATTGGACAGCAGAGAAGAGATTTTCAGAAAATGGCTTAAAGTGAAGAAGAGAAAGACGGAGATTATTTTTGCATTCCTTGAATAGTGATCAATCTTGGCAAAGTAGAACCAGACCTAATCATGTATTTTTGTGGTTAAACCAGGTCTAGCAATAAATAGCACAATTATTATCAAATTATTTTTAAAACAATGGCATATTTATGAAGTTTAAAAACAACAAAAAATACCAGCAGTGTCAACAAAAAACATAAGTTAATTCTTCTGCAGGACAATTTGTTCAAGCCTTAATTCTAGACTTGTACTTATTAAAGAGTCACACAAATTTGTTATAGTTGATATAATATCCGTGTTAGTTTTGTGTCATGTCTTTTCATCATGATGCCCTTACAGCAAGAAACTCCCTATAGTGGGGTGAATTGATCCCAATATTCAGTACATTCAATTCAGAATCTGAATAAAGAAACAAAAATAATGTGTACCTTTTTGTGAAACAAAAAAAAACATGTTTCCAGTAAAAATCTGCAAAATAGCCAAACAGTATGAATGCTAAAAGATAAACGTTGTGCTCAAAGAGCAACATTCAAAAGTCAATACCCATTCATTCTATGTCTCTCTCATGGAAAATGGCTCCAAAATACTACTTAAAGCCTATGCAAATCATGTAAAGCAGCAAGCAAAAATATTCTGTTTCTTCTGAAATGATTACACTGTCAGAATTCAGTAGGCCCTTCAGTTTAAGTTCACTGAATCTCATGAGCCCATCATCTTAATATTGCTGTATTGTACTTTTAGTAAATGCAATGTATGCTGGCAGAGCATGATGGTATGTAATTATGTTTTCATATCTTTAAATTACATAGGTGCAAGTTACAAAAAAGTGTAGCTGAGGAGTTTTGAACTGAACAAACAGCTATTGAAATAGTTAGTGACTTATACACAAGAGTGATTTTATTTTATTGATTTTGTGCTCTGTAATGGTTTCAATGTTATCAGGAGTAAAACCAGCAGAACAACTGCTTGACTGAATTGTTCCTACAGATCAATTGGCATTGTTGGTAAAGTATGTTAACTGAGTACTGAATGGAGAATAAATACAGTAATCACAAAGAATACAATTATGTTTAAGATGCATATTTGTCTTGGTGGTTCTTTACTGATCTGTAAGGCTCAACAGAGAGGTATGCTACACTTCAAAACACTATTTTTCATATTTGTCAAACAACCAATATAGTACACCATGTAGAATAACAATTCAACTGCCACAAGCAATGAAAAAATTTGAGAGCAAATAGATGCACTTACCATGATTTCTTCTGTGTCACATCACTGGAGAACACTGGGTATAATGCATTTTGGCTCTTTATTGCTTGAGTAGAAAGTGCTCAATTCATTAGGGTACAAAATAGTTTTATAACATCCTTACTCAAACTGTGGTGGTTGTAGACTTCCTCAGAATAGTTTTTTGAGGTTTTGGAGCAGTCTGTGGAGGTGTGATTTTGCCTTTCATGATTGGAAAATTATGGCTAAAGTCACTGCCCGATCCTCCATTTTCAAGGGGAGCACACTGGTGAGGTGATTTTCCTTTAGCATTGCTCAATTCACCATGCAAATGCACATCTCTGTTTCTCATGTCATATTGAACATTACAATCCAGACAGTAGCCATGGTACTGAACTTCCTCATTAAATCGAACTCTTTCCCGTGTTACCTGTGGACATTTATCTTTATCAACTCTGGGCACCAGTGGCTGTTTACGCATTTTTTCTGGATTGTTACCAGAGAGACAACACACATCTCCATTTGGCACTTTATCTGTCTTACACAAGAATGCACAATTGCAAAGCAAGGCCCCATTGGTCTTCAAAGTGTTAGCACAATAAGATTGTCGGTGGGGGTCCTCACATCGAACAGGTGTCAATCGTGGAGGTGGAGGTGGGGGGTTGGCCCTCTTTAGCACTGTTAAGATAGCTGATGAAGTCACCGTTGTCTTGCAAATTGATCTAACTGAGTGCACTTTGACCTTATCCAGACTGGAAGCAGTTGTACTACTTGAGGTGCTATTTATAGTATCTGTCTTGGAGCTGTCAGTCATTTCCTCCTCCAGCTGTAGGTCACTGGTAAGATGGTCTATTTGGTCAACTACCTGCACAGCACAGGAAAAAAAAAGTGAGGATCTAATAAATATAATAGCTTGGCAACTCATGAAGTGAAGGAATCATTCATCAAGTTACATAAATACATATACAAAATCCTGAATCTGTTTCCTGATATAACTGTGCAAACAACTGTAACCATTAAAAAAAAACACAAGTTAAAATAGTCCTCTCTACTTTCCAGATCCTGCGCTATATCTTCATATGAAGATATATTTCGTGGTATCTTGGCTTGTTTAGCAGAATGCAACCTAAGCATAAAGCACATTGACCTGGATTTTGTGATCATAATTACAGCAAAACTGTTATCGTTTGCCATCATTACTTCTCTGAAACTGACAGTAACTTCTAGATTCTGCATATCAACAGTTAATTGCCAGAGGTTGCAGTCTGTGATCAGACACCCCCTCACAGGATGAAGTGTTGGAAGATCCTCCAAACTGGAAATCATTGGACTGATTAAAATTCTTGTTTGTAGACTTACTTCCATTGTAAAAATCTTGACAAAGTTACATTCAACAAAGTTGAATGAGATGTGACATGGGATGGAGCCTAATGCACATCACAATGGGCCCATGGGTTAGCTTGTGGGCCTGTAGAATCTTTGCTGTGGCTATTGGCCTCCAACAACCACAGCCACTCATCTAGGTATTATTCAAGCTGGTGGAGAGTTTACCCCTTTATTCCCATTGACTTCATTTTTATATGAGCAAATGCTGCCTAGATGTAAAGGCAATTCAATTCAGTTCGAACACACCTCACCTGAATTGGTAAAGACTTGGAACACCAGTTTGTCAACAAAGCAGTCGAACAGATGGCTGAGAGTTACTGTATAAAAATACATCATAATTTAACCAATATAGAACAGGAAAGCTCAAATTAAAAAAAAAATCTACTTTCTCAGAGCACAGTTGTAGTTACATTGGAAAATAAGGAGTGAGACTATTCACCTCTCTAGTCTATCAACCACTTCAGTAGGTCATAGCTTGAAGTGATTGCAGTTGATCTTTCTTTCTATCACAGAATAGCCTGTCAAAATCAAATCATCAACTTTGAAGACAAGTGTTGGCAGCAACCCCATGATAGTACATGTTGTGAATTGATGCATTTAGTTTCTGATTATTGCATTTAACTTCAAATGACCCCACAAATATAATGCAATAGAAACTGACGTTTTTTAGTTCATTCACTACTTTAGATACAGAGCAGATGTTAAGAAAAGTGACATCCACAAATTCTACAAACTCAGCATCCTGAGACAGTTATAAATACACTTCTAGATGTTTAGAGACAGACAGCTGCACTGTTCCACCTCCCAACTACTGATAGAAGGCAATTATACTAAACACTTCCCCAGCTTTGGTTTGACACACCCTGGCTTTGAGAGAGTTCTCAGTTTGTATATTTGAACCACACTTTCTTCAGATGGAACTGGCACAGCAACATTCTTCTATCATTATTGTTCTCAGGAATGGTGACATTAAGTATGAAATTACGAACATCTGTATATGATAGAACTAGGATGAAGCAGGAAAACAATAATCAACAATATGCCTTTGGATATCTAATGGAATTGATCTAATGCTGAGCATATTCTCAAAGATTAATCGAAATATTCTTACATTTCTCAGATAGACTATAATGTGACTGCGTAACAGGATATTAGTCTATTTATTGACCTTTACATGTAGAGATTAGCTCCATCGATAAACTAAGCTACTAAACAGCTTCAGTGCTAATAGTTATAGGAAAGTAAGCCCTCTTTTTTTTTACTGGGTAGGAAATGAACTGTGCAGCATGAAGGGAAGAGATCATCAGCTCCTTATACAATGATGAACATTTAATCTGAGTAATGTGGCATGGTTCTCTAGATGGCATTCAAGAACAAAACTATCAGAAAGAAAAGTCAAGACAGTCATGCCCTGTGGTGACTTTGATTGGTACAGATGAAAACGTTGACCTAATGAGATACATCCTTGGGCAGCAATTGGCATACCTCCCACACTGTCGTTATGGAGATGGTGATAGGGGTTTTATGAGGGTGTGAGTTTAGTGTAGGTTTCTTAAGCATTCACAGTCAGAGAAGTCTAATTGAGAAACTTTACATGAACAGATACACTAGAGTCAGTTAGCTCAGCTGCCTAGGCAGCTAGATACCAATGCAGTGTGACGACAATAGCATGGATTCAATTCCTGCAGCAGATGAGGTTACCATAAAAGAACCCTTTTCGACCTCTCCCCTTGCCTGAGACGTGGTGACCTCAGGTTAAACCACCAGCAGTCCTCTCTCTCCTTACAACCTGGTAGGACTACAGCAACTTTACCATTATATTTAGCGAACAAAGCTGTTCTGAAAGTCTCACTCCAGTATCTTTCATCTCTGTGTTATCTTCCTCTTCATAAGGATGGAATATAGTAAATCTGTTGTTGCAATCTTTTCCCAGTCCAAAGTTGTACTTGTATTTTATCCTGAAATAAGCTACGAAGCATTGTATATCTTGATATGCAGTCAGAAATAACTTCTATGATTTTCAGAGATCAAAATGTCCTTTTCAACGTAGTATCCATGTTAGAGGAATAACTCATGTGCTGGTCCTACTGACCCAAAGTAGCAATGATTTGAATTAGTGCTGGGAATTGCAGCAGTTAGATGTTTTAGCCATTTGACCCACATAAACAGAGTTTATCAATACCTTACCACAATTCTGAACACGACCAAACGAAACATCGAAAGAAATATTTTCAAAGGGTCTAGGCCCGAAATGTCAGCCTCTCTGCTCCTACGATGCTGCTTGGCCTGCTGTGTTCATCCAGCCCTGCAACTTGTTGTCTCGGATTCTCCAGCATCTACAGTTCCTACTATCTCTCATTAAACACGTTGATGTGTTTGACTAATTATGTATATTGGTGGCTTCAGTGCTGCACTTTGCATGTCAAAACGTGAAAAGTAATCCAAGTTTAAGAAGAATTTACTTAATTTGGGTGAGAACAGACCACACTGATTCCTGGTCTCATTTCCATCCTAAAAAAGCAACCTGACTCCTAAGCACAGAAACCTTGATGTCTGTCAGTCTCTTCTGCTTCTCAGTCGTTGCTCCAATGCCCTTAACTCCTCCATCCCAAAAGCCTACAAAGTTCTCCAATCCCCACTGCAACAACTTATTATAGTTCCCAGTTGCTGGGGTCAATTACCAACGGCTTCCAACTGGAATCTTAACAGAGGCTTTCACTGTGAATTACAAGAAATGTATCTTCCTATGGTTTGAATGAATATAACTAAATGTTCAAGAGAGATATACACAATAAAAGAAATGAGAATGACAGGTTTGAAGCAACAATCTTTGAAAATGATTATGAGTTATCATCAGAACTTATACTGCAGTCCAGTTATACCATTAAGGTGGCTACCAAGTCTTATAACTTGATAAAACACATTAATTGTCTAAAATTCTGATCAGGGTGAGAAACTGTAATTCTGTCCCTGATCTTATAAAAAGTGCACAGTTGCATTTAGATGGCTTTTACGTTGGCAGATTCTCTCCAGGATCCTCCTGTAAGAAAGCAATGGAGTGCCGCCCAGGAATTCTCACAGCCAGCAATGGCAAAGGATCACTGTTGAAACCACACTTTCTTTTGCAAAAAGTATGCTATGATCTGTGATTTAAACATCCAGCAGCACAGCCTGAGAAGTTAACAGCTCCTGTGAAGGGTAAACACACAAGCCCGTGTGGATCAGGAGGATAGCAGAGTGCTAGGTGAGTGAGGGGTGCCAGATGGGTGAGGAAGGTAAGGTGCCAAATGAGTGAGTGGTGTAGGGTGTCAGGTCAGCAGCTGGGTGTGGGGGTAGGGCAGATATTGGATTACATGCTAGGCATGGAAGAGATTGTGTTGAGTCAAGTCCTGCAGCTTGGTGTTGGTTTAGGTCCCTGAAAATGGATGGGGTGTTGGTTTGGCTCCTGCTAAGGGAAATTCAGGTTGGGTAAGGTTGAAACAGGTCTAGCAGTTGAAACAGGTGAGGTTGTTTGGACTGAGAAGGTCAGGAGTCGAGGTTTGTGGTTGGGGGTGCAGGAGGTGTCAATGTTGAATCAGATTTACAGCAGGCTTTCCATCCCCTAAATTTTCCTGGAAACTATTAAGATTAAAACATTGAGGGTATAATCTCAGAGTAAGGAGTCACAAACTCAAGACAGAGATGAGGAGGAATTTGTTGTCTCAGAGGATAGTGAATCTGTGCGAACCACAGAGGGCTGTTGAGACAAGGCCATTAAGCCTATTCAAGGCAGAGGTAGATAGATTTTTAACCAGTAATGGAATCAAAGGTAATGAGGTAAGGCAGGAAAATGGAGTTCAGAATTACCAGATCAGCCATGATCTTATTGAATGGTGGAACAGACTTGATGGGCCGAATAGCCCATTTTGTGTCTACATCTTACTGTCATCCTGTGCTAAAGGTCTTAGGTGAGTCAGAACCCTTCAAAGCCTCCAACATTACTGGGCTTTTTTGGAGGAATCCAGACACACAGGCAATTCCCAACGGAAGGTCCAATTTCCTAACAATTCCCTTAAACAAATACATGGGTTTTTCTGCATGGTCCTGACATACAACTCCAGTCTACATCAGATTATCTATGCCATTCTTTGCCAAGAATGATTGGAGAACAGGGAAGGAAAATGGTCAGTTTCTCTTTCAGAGAGGAAAAAATTGAGGTTATGAGGACATAAGAGAGTGGGAAAAAGGATTTCCTCAAAGACATTTGAGACAGTTTTGGCAAGAGATCAGTGGTAGCAATTGTTGGAAGAACAAGATGACAGCAGTTGATGCTTCTTTAAATAAATTTGGGTTTAGCAGTTCCTAAAATGGATTTACAGCTGTTAAGAGTATAGCTAGAGGTAGGAAGGCTTATTTGGTCTGATAAAGATGCCAAGTGGAATAAGTAAATTTTATATAAGAGAATGCGGAATTGCAAAAGAGGTTGAGCTAAAATACAGA